CCCCCCCCCCACCCCCTCGCTCACCCTTCCAATGACCCACAGCAATGTTGATGAGAGCAACCCTAGAACCAGGTTCACCGTCAAAAGAACACCGGCCGAAAACGGAACGGCGAGTTGTATGGCCAGAAGCCTCCCTAGCGTGATCCCTCCCCAGAATAAGCTGCTTCGGTGATGTTTGTTGATCCGACGTGGTCGGTGAGGAGACGGGGGGGTGGAGGTAGAGGCGGGGGGGACAGCGGGCATGGTCAGCAAGTTTTCTCTGGGCTATGGGTCCAGCTTACCGACGGCCAAGAGAGTCTTGAGGAAAAAATCCGAGTGGGCTGACAGCAGTGTCGACGCCCTGTTGCTGCCACCCACCTAGCCATGAGGGCCGCGCCTGCCTGCCCGGCGAGATCGTCGCGAAGCACAACGACGGCCACCCAAGCGCCAAAGCCGACCTCGATTCCCACGTACAGGAAGAAGAACAGCACCAGCAGGACAACCAGGGGAAACGGCGGCGGTGGCGGTGGCGGCGGCTTACCCCCACCCTCGTGCCCTTCCAAGCGGAACGGCTGCTCCGCGTCTTCTGCGGAGGACTGTCCGTCTATCGGCTGGCCCTCAGCTGCTGAGATGGACTGGCGGTCGACCTCCTCACGTGACAACAACAGCGAGCGAGCACGCCCGTGCTCCGCCAGTGCCTCCTGCTCCCCGCCGGCGTCCTCCTCCTCCTCCTCCTCCTCCTCCTCCTCCCGCCGTGTAGCGAGAGCGCCACCACGTCCGCCACCGCTATGCACCTCGCTTTGCCTTCGTGCGGCCGGTGGTGAATCGTGACGTTCGATTCGCTTGTCGTTCGGGTGCATGTGAGAGAAAGCAGGGTCCCAGCCTGTACCTGTCCCATTAGCGCCAAGTGATCGTGGGCCCGTTGCTGCGACCCTCCATCCCATCCCGCCAAGGGTACAGAGAAAGCTGAACGGTTTGTATTGTGGAAGGGACAAATGACCACACTCAGAGGGATCCGATACACAGGACGTAGATACCGTCTCGAAGTTCGTTAAGCCAACTGTCCCAGGGCGACGAGAGTCTGCGAAGAAATGTTGCGACCGCCGTCATCTACCTGGCCGCCGGTCATTGCGATTCGTCACCAACCCTGTTGCGCTGGTACCCCGAAACCTTGCTTACCTTGCACCATCTCAACGGTTCCCCGGGAAGCGAGAGTCACCGCCGGCAATCCACCACCACCCTCTTCCTCCTGCTGGTCATCCGACATGGACAACAGCCCTTCGTCAACCAGCACGTGGTGCTTGCCTCCTCCGTCCACGCCTTGCACTGTAGAAATGGCGGAGGAAGTGGCGGCGGCGGCGGCCGTGGCGCTTGAGGTTAGGCAGCACGCAGCGCCGGTTGGCAGGGCGAGGAGGCCGAAAACGAGAAACGCCGCAGGGTACCCCATGTGGCCCACGGCCACGGGAGCAAGAAGCGCTCCGGCGCTGAAGCAGAAGTGTAAACCCTGCGGGTTGGTGTTTTAGATGGCGATGGGATGGGTCGCGAGTGTGATAGATAAAGGTCAGGAATGCGACGAGGTAAAGAATCGAGCCCAGAGATGTGATCAGGACGTCGTCGGGTTGATGTTGGTGGCGCTAGGATGGTGATGGCTGCCTTTTGGGCGTCCCGTCGCAGTTATCGTGCAAACGCGTTCCTCTTCTGGTTTGCGCGCCACACATGCGTGCGTACTAACCTGCATCCAAGGAGCGACGTCGGCTCCATGCACAAAGGAGATGGCGGCGTTGGCGATGGCGTCGATAGACCCGCCGCAGAGCCCCTGTTTTCCTTTGTCGCAAAACCGGAAACAGACGTGGGCGACAACAGCCCGAGAATGTGCCTTAGGCGTATGCCCTACACGAACGACGCACGAAGTCATGTCGCCCACAGGAAGCAGCAAGCAAGCAACCACTGAATAGCAAGGTGCAGGAACACAGCAGGTTTTCACGGTCGCGGGACAAGATCCATCCCGCCCCACGTCACGAGCATCATCGATCTACTGCTGCGTGCCTGGCGTAAGCTACCGCTGCAGTCACCCACCTGGCCGAAGCAGAGAGCGCTAACCGCCCACAACGTCTGCGCCGCGTCGATCGCTATTGCGAGCAATCCGATGCCGGCCGTGGCGGCGCCGAGGCGAGCCATCCGGTCATTCAGCGCCCCGATGGGTAGCCTGCAAGCATACCACAGCAGCAGGTAAGGGTGGAGGAACACACCAAAACAATCGGTGCATTGAGCATATATGGTATATAGCACGGGCCATCTGAGAAGGGAAAAATCGAACGCAACACTCCTTCCGTGGACGCTTTTTTCCCGCCTATGTAAGCATTTTCACCTGTCTTCCACACACAAACCGGTGCAGGAGAGTTGAAGACGCTTTTAAGGTGCAGTTACATAGCGCCCGCACGTAACAACTTGGATAAAAAGTTGAGGCTCGAGAAACTCAAAATCTAGAACTTGGGGCACCATCATTGAGACTCGTTAAGAGTCCCTACACTAAAACCGATACAGCGGCCATCTTGTAGCAAACTCCTAGGTCTAAGAACCCCAACCTCGCCGAAAACGAGAGATCCTTGGCGGGCGCCTGTGTACATACCGTCATCTGCCGATGACTTCAATGGAGCGTGTCGAAGGAGTTTTCAAGTGACTGAGGAAGGCCGTGTGCTGTGCGATTCAAGCATATCCGTGTAGGTAGAACGTAGAACATCTGCTTGGCAGGTGCACGTGACCAAACTACTGTCGACCTCAACATGCCCCCGTAATACACAACGGGGTGGTTGCGAAAGTCACGCCCGCGATGTGCAGTGACTGATTGACCGCCCTTCTTCAGTTTTTCCCGACGATTTCCCAGTAAATCCGCCTCGCCGAGCAACGTATCAAAAAACAAAATTACACAAATGCCGTTGGGCCGTAAGTGGACGAACAACACTGCTGCCTAACGACCCGACGACCAAAAACAACCCGGTCCAACGCCCCGACGGTTAAACTTGAGGGTTGGCGGTGAAACACCTTCATCTTGGACAGACGTCGATTGCGTAGGATAACCGATTCATCGTCGTAGTCACCACCGTACAAAAAGCAACGAACGAGATGTGAACGTGGGGCCGCGGCCCGCAGTATGAAGTGTTTGGCATCTCGATTGTCCGCCAGCTTCCAAACAAACCCGCCGGCTGCGGGTAAAGCCCGCTTTGCGGGTCGTGCGGGTCGCTTTGCGGGAAAATAGAGAGCTGCAAGAGTACGCGAGTGTTAGGTATTTTGTACGCGTACCATGCAGCATCATGTTTCAATGGCATATCAGCACGGTCCAACCACGCGGCGACTAAACTCAAGGGTTTGCACAGTTCAATGTCCGTATCGGCTCTATGAAGCAGCGTTCAACGGATGCCGGTCCATATTGGATTTGTAAGACGAGAGCAGGAGGCTACAAGCTATTCATATCGCTATAGCCGCTATTCCGCCGTACAGCAGCAGCAGCAGCCGTGGATCGCACTCACTGAGCAGACGAAAGGCACGAGCCCAGGAGATAGCCGAGCCCGCGGAGAGCCACTCCGGCCCCGAGGGATACGTCTGCAACGCCGAGGTGATGGCTCAGCGGAGCGATTGCCGGCCCGAGGGAGCTGATGAAAACCCCCAGCAAGAAAAAGGAGCCGAACATGGCTAAGGAGGGACGCAGTCGGGTGCGGTTGGTGGTTGCGCATTTTGGGCTAGTGATCATGACAGAGGTAGGCCGCTCACCGGTATGCGGCGGCGTGCGAAGGCTGTCACACAGCAGTAGCGCAGGGTGAGAGCAGGGGGTGGGTGCTGTGAGTATGCCGCGGTGGGCGGCTTCATTTCGTCGTGCAGACGTGCGCACGTATTCCGCCGCGTTTTCTGGAGATGTTCTATAAAAAGAGTCTATGGAAGTCCTCACAGAATAGAAGTGGAGATGGATCGATGCTCTAGCGGTTTCTACCAAGCGCGGAGACAACGAATACAGCAGTCACAAGATCGGGTACGCCGAGAATTCATTGTCTTTACGTATGTTGCAAACGGACGTTCGGGTGACGTTTTCCCTGGTTTTTCCTGCCTTACTACTAGTTGATGTTGCAGCACTTTTTTTTTTGGTCTTCAGTTCAAATAATAAGCGCAGCACTGCTGTTGTGCCGTCTACTCCAACTTGTGGTCGCACAGGAGAGCCCCTATCTACCCTCCCCTCCTGCGGTACATCGCCTTCGATTTGAAATGCGAGAAGAGTTCAGCACTCTCTTCCCTCTGAGACACACGAACTAGCGCTATCCACTTGGCCAGGAGCGGAAGCGAGAGAAAAACTCACTTTGCAAGAAAAGCCCGCTTACGCCGGGATTCGAACCCATGACGTGACCTCCACAATTGAAGGTTTCGAGAATACCATCTAGACCAACCGGGCGACCGGAATACATGCGTATGCATAGGATTCAACAAATTGACGTATGCATAAGATACCACACCCCCAAAAATATAAACTCTCGGTTTCCCGCACACAAAAAAAAAAAAGGCAAAAGGTGGTATCTTCCGTCTCGTCGACTCGTCGAGATTTCCGAAACGTATCATTTCATTTGTGCGTCCTCTTTGTAGGGGAGTATGCATAGAAATCGAGCAATATGTATCTGGTGCAGCATGGGTCATCGCCTACAAACAACAGTGGTGTTACTATTGTTCCAGACCGAGCAGACGGCTCCCTTGCAAGGATCAACTGAATCAGATGCAGAGCTCTCGCTGCTGCTGCATGCCGGTAAATAGTAGATTTTGTTCCGGATTCCTTGCGGATAGTCTTTTTCTTTCGGGGTCTCACAAGTTCTTGAAAACGAAATTCCACAGGTGATGGACCTGACTTGGAATTTCCTATATATATTCTCATTTTTTTCCGAAGGAGGACCAGCCGACTCGCCGACTCGCTGATTCTTCGCTTCGCGATTGAAGCAGCGGCCCATAATTCTCAAAAAAAAATAATTTCTCATTTTTCATGCGATTGTCGCGTGGTACCACGTCAGCACAACACGGAAGGAGTAAAAATGTTCTCCCGTGCCCCAGCGTCGCACAACAATAACGATACCATACACACTCACCTCAAACCTGGAATAGTTCCATAAGAGTGCCACCGACAACACACCCGACAAACCAACTACCCAACAACACATTCCTTCCGTACATTCCCAGCATAAAATGCAGATAGATGCACAAAACGGCTACTACACTGTCTTACTGACCCTATTGCCCACGGGGGAGATGTCGCTGTATTGTTGTTGCTGTTGTTGTCTTCACATTAAAAACCGTTCCGATCTCTCTCTATCCAGTACCTTCGTATGTCCGTACTGATACAACACTCGACGCGGTCGATTCCCGTGGTCGCAGGCTAACTTACCCTAAAAAGGTACACTCAAATAAAATGGCCCCGAGGGGTCCGCAAGTCAACAGAAATCAACGACAGATATTCTGGAGTCCTCCACTCCCTCTGCGCGCTATGCGAGGTAACAACTGAGACTAGGGGTCACCATCACGGGCCGGAGAGAATACGGTACACCCCCTTGGTTCAATCTTGGTACTTCACAACGCAAGCAGAAACAAGGCCATCTGGCACAGAAAAGAGAAAAAAGAGAACAAGAGAAAAGGAGAAGAAAATAAAAGGAAACATCAAGGAAAGAGAAAATGAAATAGAAAGAGCGAGGACAAAAAGGGACCTGGCCGAAATAACAAGAAATATGAGACAGAAAAAGGCACACGGTGGAGAGACCACTAACCACAAGCAAACACGCAAACATGGCCACCAACGAGCGATACATTGTAATGGTACGTCATCACTAGTGGGGGGTTGGTGCAATGGTGCAGCGTTGGGGGGGGGGAATTGGCTGAAAGAAATTCAATCCGGCACGTATCGCGCCACTCAGTCCGTCTCTTCTCGTTTGCTTTCTTCCCTCGCCGTCTCGTCCGTCTCCTGCCCCCCTCCCGCCCCATTGGTTGGTGGCTTGTGGTTTCGTTTGAGCGCCCATTGTCGGCTAGCCTCTTCTTCCTTCTCGTGCCAGGAGGTCATGAACCTCTCAGCTCCCTGCAGCACCGCCGCATGCCAGGGTACTCCCCCCTCCACCTTCGCGGCTTCCGTCCACTTTAACGTCGGTGCCGTGTCTTTCGGTACCGGGATTCCAAAACAACATGGATCGGCTTTCGTAGATCCGTGGTCGGCCCCGAATGCCTTCAGGTCGTCGAGCACACACTTCGGCCAGTTCTGTTCCTGTCTCCCCCTACGTCGCTTCTCCCCCCTGCCAGTTCGCCGAACATCAGTCGTTTCGGGAGTCGCCCGTCCGGCTGCCTTGCCAATGCTCCCGCGAACAGTAGGCGTCGTTGTCGGATCGTGGCTTCAACGCTCTGGCATTCGACCCTCTTCAGCGTCTGGGCGTAAGAGAGCTGCCGGTAGGTGTCTTTCTTGCGCTTGTACCCGATAACTCGAAGGAGCAGTCGGTGGTGTATCGACCGCAGCGTCTGATAGTGGCCGCTGAGTGGTGACCATGTCATGCAGCCGTACAGCAGTGCGTCCATCGCCTCCGCCTGGAGCAGGCGGATCTTGAGTCGGAATGGCGCTTGCGGTCTGTCGAAGAGCTCCCGGCCATATCGCCTGAGGCACGCCCACGCTCCTCTGCTCCTGTAGTTGTTCTCCCGGGTGAGGTCGCCATGTTCGTTGACGAGGCCACCGAGGTACCGGAACTCGGTCTTCTGGGCGTATTTCTGTCCCGCGGCTTCGATGGTCAGTGGTGGAGGCGGGGCGGGCTGTGATGTGTCGGCTTGTCCTTTGCGCATCAGGAGCGTCTCCGTCTTCTTCTCCGACACCGTTAGCCCGAACTCCCCGAACACCTCAACGATGATGGTCATCATTCTCGCCAGTCCTTCTGCAGACCTCGATACGACGCCGGCATCATCGGCATACAGCATCCCCCATACTGCCCTCTGTACTCGGTCAAGGGGTGTCTCCTCCCCCCCCCCCGCTTCCGTCTTCCCCTCCTCCAAGCACACCAGGCTCCGCAGAACAACATCATCCTCGCTGAATCGGATGACAACGACCTCGAGGACCTCGGCGAAGAAGATGTTGAACAGCAGTGGGGATAGCACACATCCTTGTCGCACGCCCTGTGTCACGAAGAACCAGTCCGATAGTTCTCCGTCGTCCATGCGCACCCGGGCCCGCATTCCATCGTGGAATTGGCGGATGACTTCGATCAGCTTCGCGGGAATCCCGCCCCTGGCCAGCACTTTCCATAGCATCTCTCGGTCCACCGAATCATACGCCTTGTTCAAGTCGACGAAGCACATGTAGAGCGGTATTTTCTTTCTCCGCCCCAGCTCCTGGAGGCGGCGCACGACGAACAGCATGTCGACGGTGGATCGCCCGGGTCGAAATCCGCACTGTTCCTCCGGGAGGATGTTGTTGGCTTCGCAGAAGGCGCTTAGACGGTTGGTGATGATCTTGATGGGGACCTTGCCTACGTGAGATAGTAGCGAAATCCCCCTGTAGTTGTTACAGTTGGACCGGTCACCCTTCTTGTACAGCACCTTGATGGTTGCATCCTTCCACTCTCTCGGAATATCTCCTTCGTTCCACAC